CCAGGATAACCCCCCTGAGAGAACATGGACTGAAACAAGGGTGGTAAAATCCCAAAGAAAAGCCAGAACTGCACGTTGTTTGCTTTAGGGGGTTTGAGGAAAACTTCTCAAAGGTGTCTGAAGTTTTGGAGGGGTTTGTTTTCAGTGACCCACCTGGAGAGAGGGGACAGACCTTGGGGCTCTCATGGGCTGTCTGGGGAGTTCTGAGCTCACATTTGTGCACTTGAAGTTCAGCAGCTCTTCCAAGACCTCCAGTAGCTGGGACAGGGAAGGTTCCTGCCACCACTTCAGGTGCACAGGGGAGGCTCAGCCCTGGGGCTGCAGCTCAGGCACCTTGAGCATCAGGATCTGCAGCAGGATCCAGCACTGGCCCTTCTCTTAGCTCCAGTGGTGGTGAACCAAAACTCCCTGTCCTTTCAGGAGCCTCCCCTGGACGCAGCAGCTCTGCCCCAGCTCTGTCCCACCCCAGTAACCATGTCTCACTTTGTTCCTCCACAGCAATGCCACCAGATCCAGCCCCTCCAGCTTCTCCAGGCCCCTGGTCCACTCTGTGCGCAGGGAGAGGTACAGGGACTGGAGGAAACCAGGAAGGATCATCCGGAAGGCATGAGGAGGGATCTGCTGGGAGCGTGGGGAGAGATGGCTGAGCCAGAGGAGCCACCCCTCAGGGTCTGCACCACCTCACCAGCCCACACAGGGGCATCCCCCAGGCACTGCAACCTGCAGCTTTCCTCACTGAGAACACACCACTGAGGAGGAATGAGCCCCTTCCTCCTGGGAATTCGTCCCTGCAGGGTGAGGAGCTGCACTGGAGACACCTCAGCCAGCAGCAGGATCACCCCAAGTGGCACCTTTGCCACCCAACACAGTGAAGTGACTTCTCTGCTTCCCAAAGGGTTGAGTGGATGGAGAGCAGATTTCCTGGGGGGAAGAGTGAAATTTGCTCCTGCAGGGGCAGCCCTGGGAAGCCTCCAAATGGTTTCAGGCTCCTCTTCTCCTGCTCCAGGACTGCGTGGCCAGTAAGCCTCAGCTCCCAAACTGACTGGAAAATCTCTGGTGTCCAGTCTGTCACCGCTCCCAGGAGAACTCACCTCTACTGGGACACACAGAGCTCATGGCACTTTGGGAATGCTGGCTCCCCATTAGGTCTCATGCACTGAGAATCCCCAAATTTTTTTCTGCTTTCCTTCACGCTTGTTAAATGAGTTACTCTGGGCTGGAAGGGGGAAAACGCCCTGAACCAGTGACTCAGAGTTATGCCACCAAATGCAATTTACTGCAATGACCTTGTAATTAGCTTTCCTTGGAGCATTCCCAGCAGTTGAGCCAAATAAATGTAAGAGCCACTTTCTAATGAGCAGATAGATGGGGAAGGAATACAATATTGCTCTTTTTGAGCCTGCAGTTTGGGCATAAAATTCAATTTTAGAGGCAAAAGTCTGCTGTTGCATCCTGCACCTCACATAGGCAGGATGGGAATCTTGGAGCACTGGAGGGATTCTGACTCTGGGCTCTCACAGCAGCTGTCCATGGCAAAACTGCTCCTTATTTGCTGAACATAATGTTTGGCTCAAACACAGCCTGTTTTTCTCGTTGCCAACCATTTATAAACCTGACTCAGGCTCACAGACACATTATCCAGGAGCAGATAGGGAAGGCAGTCGGGATAGATTATGCATTCATTATCCAGAAGTAGCCACCAGATACATTTGCACATTTGTCTGCTGCTCAGTTGTTTGCAAATTGTTCCTGTTGGTTGACACTGTGTTTGTTCAGTCACCCAGGGCTGGAGTCACCTGAGCTCAGCACCCAGACCCAGGTGCTGCAAAGAGGGGAATGGGAGGGGGTGTGAAGTGACTCCTCTGAAGTTAAACCTCACAAGGAAGCTGCCTGAACTGTGCTCTTGAAGTTCCCAATCCTCTGTCCCAAGTAGGATAAGTAACTCAGACGTAAACCTCTACTTTCACATGGGGGAGATGAAGTTTCTGCCTTGAAGTTGATGCCTCGTGTTCAGATGTGTTTGAAAAAGGAGCAAGAAGTGGCAGTTAATGTTTTCTGCACGTTTCAAAGCATAAACTCCCCGCAAAGTTGTGCCTCAGCCCTGTGACACTGTGACACTGTGGCTGTCCCTGAGGCCTCCACGGCCTGTCCTGATCCCTGCAGGTACAGCCACAGGTGACAGCAACAGGGGGAGAAGGTGGCAGGAGGAAGAACATTCAGAAAGTGTTTCTGGGGGCTGGGGGACTTTGCTGCCCTGGAGCTGAGTGTGAGGGCGGACACGCAGCTGGATATTCTCCCTGCTCTTCTGCCAGAGCCTGTGTGAGTTTGCTGGGAGCACTTCCTGTGGAAAAAGGGTTTAAATTAATTACTCCAGTGGGACAGGATGGGACTGGCCTCACTGACACGCTGGGCTCCTCTGTCCTCAGTGGGACAGACAGACCTGAGCAGGGACAGATGGACCTGACTGGGCAGATCCTTAAGGAAGGGTGAAGGGCCAGGACTGCTGTGCTCTGCTGATCACATGCTGGGTTTATCCCTGTAAATATCATCATGTTTCCTTCCAATAAACTCTTTTCCACACGTGGTGTTCAGGTTGTCTCTGTCCTCATTCAGCCCTTGCATCTCTGCTGGTTTTGCTTTTCCCGTTCTGGGAGCTGCTGCTGTGAGGGCTGATCCAGCAGGGCTGGAAGCATCTTCCACGCTGAATTTATGGCACAAATGTTTGTTCTCTCACCCCTTATGCAGAGGAACCCTTGATGGCAAACCAGAGTCTTATTTTCAGGTGGCTGTGGGTTTGCTCTGGTTTTTTTGCAAATGTTCAGGGTGCTCTGAGCTCTGTGAGAGAAGGTCCTGCCCCAGGAAAACACCTCTGAATGGGAGCTGGTGGTGGCAGAGGGCTCAGGATCCACCAGGCTTCAGTGGTGTGGACCCCCAGAGTCCAGACCCTGCAGAGGCTCACCTGCACTTTGGTGTTTGCACAATGGTCTGGGCTGACTGAGGGCCCAGGGTGAGGAGGGCACAGCCAAGGGTGGCCCATGTGCTGAGGTAACTGCAGCCCCTGGGGGTTTGGGTCTCATTCCGTGCACTGTCACCCCTCAGCACCCTTTGTCACACATTTATTCCCCTTGCAGGGGAGGTGGGTGACTTCCTCCCCAGGAGGGGCTGTGCTGTGACATCACCATACACAAGGAATGGCTCCAGACAGGAATTCCCAAGAAGCCCCCCCACGTGTGCTGTAACCACACAGAACCAGCACAGCCGCTGCACTGAGCTGGGCTATTTATTGCAGAAGAAGACAAACGCCCCCAAAAGCCTAAAAAAGGACATGAAGCAGCACTTTCTGGGCGCCCTGTGCAGCCCCTTGTCCCAGTGCAGCTTCCCCTAAAGCCCCCCATGGCAGGGAGTCACCTCGTGTGGCTTCAGGTGCTGCCATCCCAGGGCAGGAGGCTGTGGGGGCTGTTGGCTCTGCTCGAAATAGTCTCTGTGGGCTGCACACACACTAAACCACACTTTGCTTAGAAACTTCCTTTTTAGCTCGAAATTCAGTTTGCAGCCCTTCCACAGAGAGCCAGGGAAGGCCCCTGTCACCCCAGAGCTGGCTGCCCACAGGAGCACCCAGGGGGGCTTGGAAGCATCAAGTTTTGACCATCCACGGATTAACTTTCCTTCAGGGACTGTTTCCTTCAGGTCCCAAGGAGTTCATTGGGATGCAGCATTGGGATTTCACCCTCTGGGCTTTTAATCTCAGCTATGGATGTGTCCTGCCTTACAAAGCAAAGGTGGTGGCAGTTTTGGACCAGAACACTTCTGCACCCACACACCAGAGATCATCTGAACGTCTCAGTGAAGCCCCTTTGGGGGTTTCCTTTTGCCTGGGAAAGAAGCAGGAGGGCAGTTTCAGAAATTCCCATTTTCTGACCTGCAGAATGATGCTTGTTTGGACTGTTTGCTGTGACCTGGGGACACACCTCCCCATCCACAGCTTATGATCCCACCAATCTGCAGCTTTTACTGAGCCTAAAGAGTAAACAGCACCCAAACCTGCTGGATTTCAATGAAACCCATGACCTTGTATATTCTTGTCACCCTGAGCTGGTTGTTGCCACCATAGTGGGTCTGTTTTGGGCAGAAAAGAAAGGATCCCCTTGTTGCCAGCGTGGCTGCTCTCTGGAATGGGGTGTGATTTCTGCAGCTCTGTGGGTGATGGTGCCATAAGGCAGCAACAAAACATTATCAAAAAGGCTTTAATTCAGAAAGGTTCACTTTTTAGGAAAAATAGTGAAAGACAGAGGAAAGCAAACATGTAATGTCTGCCTTAGCCCCCTCTGTGTTAGAAGCCACTGTCCTTTGCTGATGTTTTAGCAAATAATAATCAGCCTTCCCTGACCCCTGGTTTTGACTCCCAGGTTTACCAAAATGGGGGTTAAAGGCTGGATTAAGGAATTGACACCCTGTTTCAGCCAGGCTTGGGCAAGCCCTGGTGAGGACAAACTGGTTCTCAACACCTCCTGAGCTGTTCAAGCCCTGTTCCTTCCTCAGCCCCCCCGGAGCACACAGGAAGGGGCAGTTTCAGTGCTGGCTGAAGATGCCTCTGTCTAAAAACACATCAGCTGTGACAATGCCTTCAGGCCTGTTTCCTCCCTGGGATCTGTCCCTCATCCCTTGGGATGTGGTGCAGAGCTGTGGCTGCAGCAGGACAGGCTGAGAGCATCATTCCATGGAGCTGGTACCCCAAAGTGCCCCGAGCATTTTGGGGAGGTGCTGGGGTGGGACGTGGTCATACCCCGAAGGCAGAGTGAGCAGTGACTGGCACAGGGGCCAGAGTGTAAATCCAAGTGCCTGAATGTAATCACAGGGATCTGATTTCAGGATCATCCCCAGGTGGATGTGAGGCTGCCAAAAGGCCAGGGAGATGTTTTACTGCTGGAAAGTCTGGCAGCAGGAGAAGGGAGCAGGTCAGTCAGGCACTGGCTGAGTGTGCTGTAACCAAAGCTGGAATCATGGAGTGTGGGGAATGCTGGGGTCTCACCAGGCATTTGAAATGCAGAGACTTTTGGAGCCAAGCAACAGCAGCATCTGTGTCATCTTCCTCCATCAGCAGTTAGTGGTGGGGAACATTTAAGCTGCTCCCACTGTTCCTGTGTAGCCCTTTCTCCTCCCTTTGTGGCACAGTTGGAGGATGTCAAGCTGAGTGTGGCAGGTTGGAATCTGATTCTCACGAGGTTGTATATTTGTGTGTGAGAAGCAAGACTTTGGCTCCTTGAACCTGTGGAGGCCAGGATCAGTGATCACTGGAAAACCAAAGCAAGACTTTGGGCCTTTGAAGCTGCCAGGATAATATGTGGAGGCCAGGATGAATCGTGATCGACTTTTGGCCACAGATCTTCAGGATCAGGGATCGTTGGAAAACCTCCCTCTGCTGCTTCAGCCCCTGTTGCCTCTGACCCAGCTCAGCCTAAAGGTGATGAGCTCAGGGGCTTCTCCCTTCCACCCCACCCCTTGCAGGTCAGCACAGAGGGTTCTCCTGAGTCCTCTCTCACCTTCATGAACCCCAGTGTGGACTGAGTGTCCAGGGGCTGCACCCACTGTCCCTGCCCTGGGCACCCTTCTCCTGCTGAGCAGCTTCTGGATCAAGCAGTGGGATTCAGGCACGATCCTGCAGTTCAGCCTGGTCCTGGGAGGTGTCCTGATCATCCCCATTGCTCCTCTCAGGCTTTCCTACCTCAGTCTTAGCAACCAGTGGCCATTTGGGAAGTTCCTCTGCCAGTTCAAGTTTTCCTGTACTGCAGCATCTATTTCCTGATGTTCACCTGCATCCACCAGTACTTTGGTGTTGTATGGTACAAGAGCAGGTCCCTCTGCAAGAAATCTGGAAAACCTGTGCTTGTTCATCTGGCTCATCCTCTGTGTCCCAGGGTTGCCTTTCTTCTTCCTCCTCAAGACTTCAGTCCCAGGCTCAACAAAATGCCTGGATATTCATGTATTTTCTTCTTCCACACCATAGTTCTTGTTTTGCTCTCTTCCCTCCTGTCCTTTGCCATTTCCCTGATTTGTGGAGCTCTGTTGGGAGCTGCCACTGCTGCAGCAGCAGGGAAAGCTCCAGAGGCAGCAGAGGAAGAGCAGGTCTCTGCAGATGATTGCAGGTTTCTGCAGATGATTGCAGTGTCTCTGGTGGGTTTTGCCACCTACTTTGGCTCCCTGCACATCTGCAGGACCACTGGCATCCTTGTGAAGTCCTGTGGCATGTCTTGGCACCTCTTGCACAGAGGAGCAGTTGTCTCCAACATCAGCTCATGGCAAACACCTGCCTGGATCCCCTGATTTATGTGTTTGCCAATGTTTGCCAATGCCAAGGGAACCTTTCTGACTCATTTTGCAAATGCTGGGCACCAAGTGAGTGTGAAAGGTCCAGGAACCACCCAGGACATTCCTGGAAGATCCCACGGGGTGGCTGCTGGAGATCCAGACCCTGAACTTCCTCCTCCTGTTCTGTCCCAGGTTCCCAGAACTAAAGTAGCAGCACTGCAGGAGTTCCAGGATTTCTTTTTGTTCCTCCAGTGCTATCAAGGGCTGTTCCCTTGGGCAGGGACTCCCTGGGCTGTAAGGAAGCTCCAGCTGGGCACCAGTCCTGCCACTACTGGTGGCTGGATCTCCCAAATGTGAGTTTTTTTACAGTGGCCAGACCTTGTTGGGTGCAAGGGGGAAGAAGAATTTACAACCACAGTCCTAAACCATGAGAAAGTTCAGTGAAAATTGCCACGAATCTCGTGCCCAGGAGTATTTTGTGCTTTTTCTTTTCCGTCAGGAGCAAGGTCTGTGCAGGTCTGAGTCCAGCACCCCAAAACACAGGGGACAATAACCCATGTGCAGGCACCTGGTTGTCCCTCAGCCACCCAGAAGTCAGCAGCTCATGTGGTAGTGATCCAAACTGTGGGAAAGATGAGAATGAAATGAGTACTAGGGCAGGAGTCAGAGAGAGGAGATGCTCCTCTAGGTAAGGCAACAATTTGGAAGTACAGGGTTTAGTTTTAGGCCTCACTGTAAACTTATTCTCTGAACATGACACAGGATCCACGTTTCACTTCCCCATCCCTCAGATCGGTCTGAGTTGTCCTTCCCCTTTCTCTCTTGTCTCTTCCAATGGAAAACCTACAGTTAACAAAGTCACTGTGACCTGCTTTTTGTACCAGCAAAGCCAGGGGTTCTGGAAAACACTGCAAGTAAGTGCTGCTGTGAGAGAATGAGAGGAGGAGAGTCCTCATCTCCCAGGAGGAGCTGGGCAGTAAGTCGGGATTTTCAAGAGGGTTTTTGTTCCCAGTGCTCCACTCAGGTTTGGGTTTGGGTATGGTGGCTGTTGGCTCTGCCCCCGTGGCCACCTCTGGCCACCTCTGCAGACACAGCCTTTGCTGGCAGTGCCCTCAGGGGGGTGAGGTGGGTGCCCACCTGTGAGGAGGGTGCAGTGACCTCCCCCAGCACCAAAGCAGGGGCTGGGAGGTGCAGAAAGGTGTCTTGCAGGGGTCTGCTCTAATGTAAGCCAACAAATAACCTGTTTGTCTTGGAAACCAGCATCAAGGGCAGGGTAGAAGTGACTGAGAGACTCATTTTCTGGCTTGGTTTCTCTCTAGTGATTAATTCCTCCATGAATCCCCACCTGCCTCACCGGGGCTGCTCTGAGGCTTCACTGAATTTGTGTCTGTCACACACCTGGCAAGCTCAGAGGAAAGGTGTTGTTCCCTGCTGTTAGAACACTCCTGTTGGATAAATCCTGTTGCCAAAGCCAGGCAGGCTCCAGAACCCTGCCTAAGGCACGTGGGTGACAGAAAACAGCACCTTGGCTTCGGGCTCTTTCCTAGAGGAGGAAATACTTCTGTGTTTGTGATTTGATGCACAAATAAAGGGATGTTTGTACATGCCTGTGGAAAAGGTGACTGTCCCTGTCCCCTCACAGCATTTGCCACAGTGCCCAGCACACAGATGAAGCTTCATATTTCAACATGCAGCTGAGCAAGGGATGGGGAAGGGCTGAATCAGGATAATCCCTTTTTATTCCACCAGGGAGCATAACTCTAATGATTTTGATGCAAAATGCTTCTGCAGGTCAACATTCACCTTTTTATTCTTAAGTAACTGTCCATTAGTGATTCCCTCTGGACAGCCAACTGTGAAACAAACCCAGAGTTGTTTGGGCAAGTACAGGGATGGCAAATAACCAGGAATTTAAATGTATCTGCAGTCCTGCAAATGGCTGTAGCTACATTTGAAACCCCAAACCTGCCCTGAGCACCCACACAAATCTTATTGTCTCTCCTCAGTTTGAGCAGTTACTCAGTATTTAGTAACTCCAGCAAAGTCATTCAATTCCATGTTTGATTTAAAGGAACTTTTGGGAATATGGTTCCTATTCACTTCCTATGAGGAAAAAAAAAATCTATGAGGTTTTAAGCTTGTAATATTTCAAGGTGATTTTCTTAGGCCTTTGTGAGGTGAATTTCTGAGCTTGTAAGGGGCATGACCATACCACTCCTTGGTTAATAACTCCTTGGTTAATCCAGATTATCACTGCTGTTAAGGCTTCATGAACAGCTCCTACCCAGAGGCTGGAGAGCCACAGCTCAGTGTTTCAGCAGAGTCACACTTTGGGTGCAAACACTTCATTCTGCAGATTCCCTGGTTCCCCCCACGGGAAGAAACCCTTCCTCCCCCAGGAAACATCACCCCATTTGCATATTAATCAAGCTGGACGATGAGTGACTGGGAGGTTCCTCGTGATGTCAGAGCCCTGCTATTTCCAGTGGTCACCCGCGGTGGGGAGGACCAGGGAAGTGGTGGATTCTCCATCCCTGGAGGTTTTTAAGATGAGACTGGATGTGGCATCAGTGCCATGGGCTGGGAACCACAGCGGGGTTGGATCAAGGGTTGGACTTGATGATCTCGGAGATCCCTTCCAACCCAGCTGATTCTGTGATTCTGTGATTCTGTGATTCTATGATTCTGTGATTCTATGATTCTCTGATTCTCTGATTCTGTGATTCTCTGATTCTCTGATTCTGTGATTCTCTGATTCTGTGATTCT